GAGGAAGGCTTCTGAGGGCTGTTTTGGGATGTCACAGTTTTCAGTGATGGAAATCTTTCCTCTTTGTGCATAATTCACTTAATGTGACTATTTATCATCATCATTAGCAATTACTTTGTTGTGGGGTGTTTGGTTAACTATAGAGCTCACAATGATCCAGATTTGTATCAATGATAATTTTGGTCTATACTTTTCCAATAACCAGATTTAAAAACATATTTATTGCCATGCAAATATGAATCTATTACACTACTGCAAAGTAGACATAATTTAATGCCCCTAGGATTTTAGAAGTTTTTATCATTGTTGGAAAGTAGAAAGGAGAGACCATTTGGCCAGTGAAAGTGTACTATGGTTAAAAAAAAAAAAAAAAAAGAAGCTGGAGTCCTCCCACCCTAACACCATTTAGAACAGGCAGGCTAACCCAAGAAGAGGTCAGATCTAGAATTAGCCTATGTCTTTAACATAATATTTAGTGCAATACTATGCCAAAACTAAAAACAGTTATGGAAGGCTAAAAGTAACACGAGAGTCCCCAAAGTGGTTATTCTATCTTAAGGATATTTTCCTACTTCAGTTCCATTTGGATTTTGCATTAAGCCAAACTGGAAATATTTTTAACTCAGAAAATAAAAATAGATTAGTGAATCCATACAAAATGTTATAGATCGAGAGAAGGTAGTCATGTGCATTTTTCTGAGAGGAAATTGGATATAGCTCGTTGGGAATTATTACAGATGCTGAATATTTGCTTTGCCATAATCTTGACCAAGGCAGAGAAGAAACCGTGGGAAAGTCTGAGGGTGGGTGGATGGCAGAGATTGATATGGTGGAAACCTCTGGGTTAAAAACCACTATGTGTTTTTTAAAAGAACATTTGCATTTTGAAACAATTACAGACCCACAGGAAGTTGGAGGTCCCATGTATCTAGCTTTCTCCTGTGGTTATAGTGGTTATATCTTGCTCAGCTATAGTTTAATTTTTAAGTCAAGAAGTTGACATGGATATGTGTGTGTGTATGATGTGTATATTTCTTTCACATATGTAGATTCATGTAACTACCTCAGCATTCATGATACACAACTCAAGATGCGCACCATAAAGATCTCCTTCATGCTGTATTTGTTTTATGTGTAATTTCTAGGGTTTTTAGCCAAACTTAGGAAGAGGAACAAGGAAATGTACATCTATTTCATCTTCTGGAAGTGGAGTTCTCTGTTTTGCTTTTTTATTTCTTTACTAAAAAAATTTTTTTTAGTGTTTTTTTATCTTTGAGAGAGAGAGAGAGCGCACAAGTGGGATAGGGGCAGAAAGAGAGGGAGACACAGAATCTGAAGCAGGCTCTAGGCTCTGAGCTGTACTGAGCCATCCAGGCACCCCTCTGTTTTGCTTTTTAAATGTATGTGAATAATTCTTCTTTTTTAAAAAATTTTAATGTTTATTTATTTTTGAGAGAGAGAGAGACAGAGTGCAAGAAGGGGAGGAGCAGAAAGAAAGGGAGACACAGAATCCAAAGCAGGCTCCAGGCTCTGAGCTGTCAGCACAGAGCCCGACACAGGGCTCGAACTCATGAACAGTGAGATTATGACCTGAGCCGAAGTTGGACGCTCCACCGACTGAGCCACCCAGGTACCCCTGTGAATAATTATTCTTGTACCCCAATGTTCAATAGCAGACCTAGGTACCTTATGGTATTTTATGCAGCCGCTAACATAATGGTCACAAGACAATCTTATATGTTTATTAGGATTGAAAATGCTTACATGACATAGTAAAAAAATACGTTACTCAACTATGTGCATATGTAAATATGATTACCACTATATGGAAAAACCTATTGTAAGAAAGAAAACTGTAAGTTCCCAAGATACCGAGAATGGATATTTCGGGTGTGGAATTATAACTGATTTTTTTCCCCTTTCGTGTGCCAAATTGAAAAAAAAAATGGAATCTTGAACTTTTGTAATTACAAATAAAATAAAATTTATTCCTAAAGTTCCAACTGTCTTCCAAGATATATGACATTTTGCATTGATTAGTTAACCTGTTTGTAATTGAGGAGTTAGAAAACTATCTTCAGCTTTGGTTTGTGCAAAATCAAACTGTCGGCATGGGTTTAGGCAATTACCTTGGCATCACATGGTTATCACATCTGCAGTAATAAGCCACAAAGTTTATATTTACCATGCTAAAAAAAATGGAACACATTTTATTTGGAGATTAGCAAGAAAGCTTTATAGACTCCTAGAATATCACAAATAAGCTGGCAGGAGAGGAAATGATAAAGCAGAAATATACCGAGGATGTTTAGAGGACAAGTTCAGGATAGAAACCCTTTTTTAAAATTTTATTTGAGAGAGAGAGAGAGAGAGAGAGAGAGCATTAGCAAGAGGGGAAGAGGGGCAGAGGGAGAGAGAGAGAATCTCAAGCAGGCTCCACGCTCAGTGCAGAGCTTGACTTGGGCTCAATCCCACGACCCTGGGATCATGACCTGAGCCGAAACCAAGAGTGGGACACTCAACCGGCTGAGCCACCCAGGCTCCCCAGGATGGAAAACCCTTCTTGACTTTCAAGTTTGGATGTCTCTGACTGAAGCCCTCATCTCCTTTCCAGGACACTGCTGGCTTTGAAGCCTCCATCCGCCGCGCTGGGGGTTTAGCATTCACACACAGCAGTTTTCGAGCGTGCAAATCACATACGCGGAGTATGGCTCACAAGTGTTGTCTGACGTGCTTGTGGTAGAACATGGGTGACAGGGAAGCCTGTGGAGAAATTTGAACTAAGTTCAACAGGGGAAAGCTGGATAACATTTCAAGTCAGAAAAGATTGTGCCCAAATCTGCCACTCTTTGAACGCTCTTTGCAGAATAACATTTGACTTAAGCCTATTTTATGCCTGGACCCAGCATTGTCGCTTCATGCCCATTGCAGCTGTGCCAGCTCAATACAACTATATGTATTTACTTCACTTTGCAAAATGTCCTCTTATGCCTTTGGTGGGAGGCAGGAGCCAAGGGAGCTCTCCAGCATGGAATTTTATGTGTGATACTTATTCTGCTTTAGAACTTAGAATACTTTGTGAACACTTCTAATATCGTGTGATTAGCCTCAGTCATGGTTGTTGTTGTTGTTGGTTTTTTTTTTTGTTTTTGTTTTTGTTTTTTAACTCTTGTAAGGAGATCCTTTAACACATTAGAGAGGTTTGACCTTGGGCAGATCTTGGGGAAACAGGATTCTCCTACAAGAGCCTCTTTGTGACTTGGGGGATTTTGAGAATAAACGTGTGGAACTTGCCTGCTGTCCTCACTCTCAAGGAGACCCCGGTACGTGTTGATCTCACACTCCAGCTGGGCCTTTGTGTCCAGCAGCACCTCGTACTCCTGGTTCTGCCGCTCCAGGTCACAGCGGATCTCCGCCAGCTGGTTCTCCACGTTATCGATCAGGCACTGCATCTGGGCCAGCTGTGCGCCGTACTGGGCCTCAGTCTCTGCCACAGTGCATTCCAGAGATTCTGTCTGCAGAGGAAGTGTACTCAGGAGGGCTGTATAACATAATCCCTGGGATCAGAGTGCCTGTTTCCAAAGCCTTGCTCTACCCTAGTGTAGCCTAGTGACATTCTGAAAATTACTTAGCTTCTCTGAGCCTTAGTTTTATTCTATAACAAGTGGGCAATGCAAAGTACCTATCTCCTAGGAGGGTCGTGAGGATTAAATGAGTGATATGTGTAAAGCATTTTGAAGAGTTCCTGAAAAAAAAAAAAACTTTAAAAGCTAGGTAAGAGTTATTACTAACACCCCCAAGCCCGCTGCAACCTTCAGTATACTGAAGTTGGGTATCGACTTGAGGCAGGGAGGAGCCATATAGTGGGAGTTAAGAGGCTCTGGGATTGAACCAGCTGGATCCAGCTTCCACTTTTGCCTCTTAAAAACTGCATGATCCCTGCAACTTAATCTGAATCTCAGTCTTCCTCATCTGTATAACGGGCTTAGTAAAGGGATTTATCCCATAAAGTAAGGCTCTCACAAGATGAATGCACAACTGTCATTCACCTAGTCTCCATAGGGCCTAATGTGGCACAGACAGGGGTGTTTGACTGGAACTGGCTAGTGTTATCTTCAGTTGCTGGTGGGGGTCCTCATTGTTTGGTGGGGGTCGGGGTGGGGGTTCAGTGAAGGGTCCAGTTGAGATTGGATCCTGGGAAAGTTTAGGATAGTGGTAGAATGCAGAGTTTGAATACCATTGTTTTCTATGATGGTGAGCTTGGAAACCTGGCCCGAATCAAAAGAGCTTCAGGGGTGCCTGGGTGGCTCAGTCGGTTGAGTGACCGACTTCGGCTCAGGTCACGATCTCACGGTTTGTAAGTTCGAGCCCCGCATCGGGCTCTGTGCTGACAGCTCAGAGCCTGGAGCCTGCTTCCGATTCTGTGTCTCCCTCTCTCTCTGCCCCTCCCCCACTCATGCTCTGTCTCTCTCTGTCTCAGAAATAAATAAACATTAAAAAAAGATTAAAAAAAAAAAGAGCTTCAAAACCCACTGGAATGCTCGAGTGCCTTTGGCTCAGAGGTTCTGTTCTCATTCTGCTCCTGCTCCTCCCCTCTCTCCCTGTCTCTGGAAGGTGCTGCAGGATCACACTCAAGCCCAGAAGGGACGGTCAGGGCATCCCGTTGGGACAGTACAAGCTGTTGACCTATCGCTTCTGCCCCTAGCTCAGTAAACAGCAGTATTTAGGAAAGGCAAGGAAATATACTCCTTGCACATTGGAAATGGAGACTTTCTGCCACATGAACTGTGGGGCTCTCTCCTCGGGGTTTGGAAGAGGGGATGGCATCTCGGGGCCTGACTCCTCAGTATGTGAGTGGCATACCAGGCTTTGCTGTGCTTGGAGCTCAATTTCCAGAGCGTTGGCTGTGCGTTTCAGTTCCAGGATCTCTGTCTGGCAGTCCTGCAGCTGCTCCGTGCTGCACAGCTGCTGCTGATTCAGCTCCTCTGTCTGAAACACAGGTGTGATCAGAGGACCCAAGTAAGACAGACATCTGGAAGCCTGTCACCTTCCTGCTCCAGGAGCTGACCTGAACAGCAAACCATTCTTCCACATCTCTGCGGTTGTTGGCGAGCACCATTTCATACTGACAGCGCATCTCATCCAGGACCCTGTTGAGGTCGACGGTGGGGGCAGTGTCCAGCTCCACGCTGAGTCGGTCACCCAGCTGTCCGCGAAGCAAGTTGACCTCCTGAATGGGGGAATGGAGTCAAGAGTGTGACAGGGTGGGTGGGCGGGGGAGGGGGGGGATTCACTTTGACATCCCAAGGGCGTCGCATTTCTGTTTTGGGGGAGAAGTGAGTAAAAGTGTAAAAAATCTAAAGGGATTTAGATTCAGTTGCTTGGGTTGCAATCTCTTTTCGTAGCTCAGTGTCTGCATCTGCAAATGGGTATAATAATTTTACCTTTCCCAGAGACTTATTGTGAGAGATACGAGTTAATGTTTATAGAAAGCACTTATGAAAGCCCTTGGCACATAGGAAGGTCTCAATAAATGCTATTATTATCATCAACCAATGCTCAAAGGGGAAATGTACTATATTACATCTTTCAGCTTTTCACCTTTTAGCCTCATTGATGTGAGATAATCAGATACTTCATATTTTATGATTTTAAAAAGTTTATAGGTACAGAATATTTTAAAAATTTGGCCCAAATATTGCATAAGGTGTTATCCCCTTTTTGAAATGGCCTTCACGCCCTGTGTTTATCGATAATCCAGATTTTCAAACCTTATAGGTTAGAGTTAGGTGAGCCATAAAGCCTCCAAGGAAGGCTGTTTGTGGGAGTTACCCCCTCCAGACAGCAATGACAGGTGGACAGTTTGGTTCATCCCTGTGGCACTGGCCAGGGCCATTTCACATGTACATCCAGAGACATGACATGCTGCCATGATCAGGCCCAACAGCATTAGTGCCCTGAGTACTTTTGTTCCAGCATGAGCGGTATCTGCCCAAGTTCGATTTAGGTACACAACACAGACTGTATCAGTTTGACTTTGTCCCTTCTACATTTGTTCAGCAATTTTGCCACTTTCCTCACCTCTTCGTGGTTTTTCTTAAGGCAAAGGAGATCGTCCTTCAGAGACTCCACGTGGGCCTCCAGATCGGCTTTGCACAGAGTCAACTCACCCAGGATCCCACGCAGGCCGCCAATGTCCGTCTCCAGCAGCTGGCGAAGAGACAGTTCAGACTCGTACCTTTCACGGCAAAAGAGATACAGCCAATGCTTACTTGGCTGGAGACAGTGCTGGGGATGCTGGGGAGTGACAAGAGGACTCAAGGAAGCCACATCCCAAATAATAAATGTGAGTTTTGTGAGCATTCTTAGCTTTAAAAAAGCTTATAGAGAGAATATTTGTGGTGTGTGCACACGCACTTGTGTGTGTGAGACAGAGAGAGCGAGAGAGAGAGTGAGAGAGAGGCAGTCATAAATTATTCTCAAGTTCAAATTCAACTTACTTTGACCTGAAGTCATCGGCAGCCAGTTTGCAGTTGTCAAGCTGAACAGCAAGTCTAGAATTCTCTGCCTTTGTGCACAAGATCTGGGAAGGAAGGTCGTTATATGTAATAGATGGCCCTTTGAAAGAAACCTAAATATCTATTCATTTAACAACTATGCCATTATTTATCTTTTAAAAGTCTTTATAAGAAAGTATAAAATAGCTTTCAGCCTACTTCTCTTATTAGCCATGTCACTTCATGACGAGACAAGCAGGACCAATTTATAAAAGAAATAGATAAAAAAGGTTAGTTTTTCAACGGCCTAAGACATTTTGCAATATTCCTTGACAGTTGAACTCTGATTTTTCTCCATAAGTGGTTTGTATTATGACTCTATCCCCACTCCATGAAAATAAAAATTCATCTGTAAGAAAATGATTCCTAGGGTGAAATTATGTGATTAAAACGATGACATTTCAATATCTATGTTAAAATATAAATATAAACATCCAGTGTTGCATACAGAATTAACTTTGGGTATAACACAGTTTTTCCTTACTCTCTGGACGATGAAGGTAAAAGTCTGGACATGAGAGAGTTTATTATGGCCGTCAGGGATTACTGGCATCCCCAGGGCTAATGCTGACGTTTCCTGACTTTCGGCCCACCACCCTTTCCTCTGGGTCACATTACCTCCTGAAAAGTCCCCTTTCCCTGGGGGGACTTCCATAGAATAGCCTCTTTTAGTATAAAGGTGGAGCAAATCCCAGATTGGAAGGGTGGAACATTAGGGCAATGAGACACCAGACCTTTTGCTGGAGATCTTCAATGGTGTCGAAGTAACACTGATAATCGGGGCACACCAGGGGGACCTCCCCTTCACACTGTTCTCGGATCCTACACTCCAGCTCCGCGTTCATCTCCTCCAGGCCTCGCACCTTCTCCAGGTAGTTGGCGAGTCTGTCGTTCAGGAACTGCATCGTCTCCTTCTCGTTGCTGTTGAACATCCCATCCTCACACCAAGCACCGCTCCCCACCAAGCACGGAATGTGACAATTCCCAGCCAAGTAGGACGGTGTGACACAGCCTGTTGCCAAGCGAGACCCAGATAGGAAGCTAGGGGTCTGGCCTCTGGAGGTGGCTTGGGCGCTGGGGAGGTGAGTGGTTTCCATGGAACAGGGTGAAGCGAACACACAGTCGGAAGCTGTGGCACAGGATTCAGAGGAGCAGCACGTAGGGGAGCAGTCCGAAGTCATCCTATCGAACGAAGAACCAAGACTAGTTGCAAAACTCCGGCTGACTGGCTGCCGAGGTCTCCTTCCCTCCTGAGACTTTTATACAGTCCCCCAAATGGGTATTTACGGAACAGACCGGATGTTTTCCTTATCACTGTTGGTGGCAGTTGTCATATGAACACTCATCAGGGTTGTTTGTTTGCTGAGGAAGAGTTTTATGCTTCATAAAAGAGGCATAACTTCAGGTTACTAAAAAAGGACACTATTTCCATATGCCAATAGGATAAAATGTTTGGTCCAGAATAAAATCTTCTTAGGAAGCGCTGTCCGTTTGGCAGACTTTGGAAAGATGGAGAAAATGTGGCCCCTCAGTAATTATAGGTACAACTCATTACAAATAACGAAAACAATATTCCCACACATTTTGATCCTGGGCCCTGGAAATTGTTTATGTATCCTCTTAAAATTCATATTACATCTCATTAAATGCCATTTATTTGTTTGTGCCACCATCATAAAAATGTTCCCTGTAGTTAGCAGTCTTTTCAGCGCTTTTTATGGTCTTGCTGTGCTCAGATGGTGGAGGGGTGAGGTGTGTACTGGGTTTAAAGTGTGTGTGTGTGTGTGTGTGTGTGTGTGTGTGTGTGTATGTGTGTGTGTGAACCATGTCTACCTGTGCACACATTGAAAAGTCACTTTATGTAACAGATGGGTACGATCTGTGCCCTCCAGGCCTAAAGACAAATTGGTTACCAAGATCTGGAGTTGTGATCTATGATTTCCGGAAATTTCCTTGCTTTCTCCACATTTCCTATGCCTAATTTTTATTTATTTAAAAAAATTTTTAGGGGCACCTGGGTGGCGCAGTCGGTTAAGCGTCCGACTTCAGCCAGGTCACGATCTCGCGGTCCGGGAGTTCGAGCCCCGCGTCAGGCCATCAGGCTCTGGGCTGATGGCTCGGAGCCTGGAGCCTGTTTCCGATTCTGTGTCTCCCTCTCTCTCTGCCCCTCCCCCGTTCATGCTCTGTCTCTCTCTGTCCCAAAAATAAATAAACGTTGAAAAAAAAACATTAAAAAAAAATAAAAAAATTTTTAAATATTTATTTTTGAGAGAGAGACAGAATGTGAGTGGGGGAGGGGGAGGGAGAAGGAGACACAGAATTGGAAGCAGACTCTAGGCTCTGAGCTGTCAGCAGAGCCCGATGTGGGGCTCAAACTCACGAGTCTCGAGATCATAACCTGAGCCGACGTCGGACGCCCAACTGACTGAGCCACCCAGGTGTCCCTCCTATGACTCATTTTTAGATGAAAGATATACTTTTTTTTACCTGTATCTATAATAAGAGTGAAATAAAATCTCTAAGTTACAATCTTTTAATCTCTTAGGAAACTAAACCCTCATTGGTTACACTTCAGAATAGGGGCAAGGGAGCTACAGAAGGTTTACTTCTGAGATGGAATCTGTTTTTTCTCTTATTTCTTTTTTTTTTTTTTTTTTTTTTTTTTTAGTTTTTAACTTTTATTTATTTCTGAGAGACAGAGACAGAGTATGAGTGGGGGAGGGGCAGAGAGAGAGAGGGAGACACAGAATCTGAAGCAGGCTCCAGGCTCTGAGCTGTCAGCACAGAACCCAACACAGGGCTCCAACTCATGAGCCTCGAGATCATGACATGAGCCAAAGTCAGTCACTTAGCCAACTGAGCCACCCAGGCGCCCCTTATTTACTTATTTTTTAAGGTCACAATTTCATAAAAATTTAAAATACTGGAACTGAGGAATAAAATTTTATAATGTGAGTTCCAGATCAGTGGTTCCATTGGGTGAAACCCCTGCTGCAATACCGAATGGATAGGGGTTTGAGATTTTTTGGATTCTGTCTTGAATTTCATCTCCGTTATGGAGCATAATCTCTTTCACTTTGCTTGGCGTAATTGTGGCATTTATTTCATTTTCAAAGGTGTGCAGAGCAAATTGCCTCCAGAATCGTTAACATTTTTATAAGAAAAAACCCCACTATCCTGACAAAGTGAAAATTTTCATGATCCAAAATAAACTTAATTTTTTTTTTCTAACTGTGAACACTAGGTAGCTGATAATGGAAAGACCAAAACCAAAAACAAACCAAGAGCTCTTAAATAGATGGATTTAAATAGTGTCTTAGGATATATTATTCTCCCATCCAAGTACTAACCAGGCACGGCCTTGCTTAGCTTCTGAGATCAGATAAGATGGGACACCTTCAAGGTGATATGGTCATGGACCCTTAGGGTTTATTATTCATTGAGCAGAATTGGGTTTGATTTTAGGGATTCTCTTTACATTTCAACACTTAATGCTAAACGTTCTTAGAGTGCTGATGGTATGATGATGCTGTTCTGCAGAGGACATGAGCAGGGATTCAAAAACATATTTGAAAAATACAGATCTCTGAAGGAAAATTCTGATTTACACAGTAACCTAATGAGTCAAAGGAAAAATGTGTTTGAAGAGAACCCATGTCTTGGTTGTCTGTCATTGGTTTCAGTTAATTAAAATGCAGCAATGTGCCTTTCTTTTAAAGTAACCGCAGGGGGGGTGCCCTGGGTGGCTCAGCTGGTTAAGTGTCCAACTCTTGATTTCAGCTCAGGTCATGATTTCACGGTTCATGAGTTTGAGCCCCACATCGGGCTCTGTGCTGACCACACAGAGCCTGCTTGGGATTCTCACTCTCTGCATCTCTCTCTGCCCCTCCCCTGCTCATGCTCTCTCTCTCTCTCTCTCTCTCAAATAAACTTGAAAAAAATAAAGTAACTGCAAGTAAAAATAAGTATTTCCTTTTATATTGACCTAGTTTCTATTTGTAAAATGTTGATATCTGGTTATGGGATATATATATATAGAGAGAGAGAGAGACAGAGACAGAGAGAGACAGAGACAGAGAAAGAGAGAGAGCGAGAGAGAGCACAAACATGCAGGACTATTTATTTGGGGCTTGATTAATTAGATAATGTTGTATGACAATCAATAGCCTTAGTTCCCCTCTTAGAATATTGAAATTGCCCAGAATTCATTAAAAAAAAATTTTTTTTAATGTTTATTTATTTTTGAGACAAAGAGAGACAGAGCATGAACGGGGGAGGGGCAGAGAGAGAGGGAGACACAGAATCGGAAGCAGGCTCCAGGCTCTGAGCCATCAGCCCAGAGCCTGACGCGGGGCTCGAACTCACGGACTGCGAGATGGTGACCTGAGCTGAAGTCGGAGGCTTAACTGACTGAGCCACCCAGGCGCCCCCCAGAATTCATTTTTATGGCATATCATCCTCAAAAGAAGGGAACATTGGGAATAGAGAAAAATAAACAGATGCCATTAAAGGTCATGATACAATAGCATCATTGTTTCTTCTTGAAATATGCCCGTACCTCAGAACATCCACTTACTGCTGCCACACTCGCTGATGTAAAATACAGATCTATTTTTTTTGTCAGTCTCCACCTCTGAAATCCAAACTTCCTGCCTTGACAAATACGACCCCTTTCAGTCTGATGCCAATTTACCCTTCTAGGCTAATTTCCTGATACTTTGTCTCACAACCCCAAACTGCAACCTTCCTTCCTGCTTTGTAGGTGGTGTTTCCTTGGTCCGCTGTTCTTCTGTACCCCGCCCCCCACAAACCCACATGTTAAGACAGATGAAGTGCCACTCAACTGCCTCATGTTGAGATGGGGCTTTCCCCACAGCATTTGCACATACCTCCACTGTCACGTGTTACATCCCTTTTAAAGGTTTCAGTATTTTTATGTTTCTTGGTCTTTTTTCCCTTTTTGGAAAATGTCTCTTTTTTTGAATATATATTTTTTAATGTTTATTTTATTTTGGAGAGAGAGAGAGAGAGGGGGAGAGAGAGAGAGAAAAAAAAAAGAGAGAGCGAGCACTAGTGGGGGAGGAACAGAGAGAGAGGGAGACAGAGAATCCGAAGCTGTCAGCACAAAGCTCAACCTGGGGCTCGAACCCACAGAACACCGTGAGATCATGACCTGAGCCGAAGTCAGATGCTCAACTGACTGAGCCATCCAGGCACCCCAGAAAATGTCTTTTTTTTTTTTTTTTTAATTTTTTTTTCAACGTTTTTATTTATTTTTGGGACAGAGAGAGACAGAGTGTGAACGGGGGAGGGGCAGAGAGAGAGGGAGACACAGAATCGGAAACAGGCTCCAGGCTCTGAGC